GCTTCAAGAAATATATGGAATTGAAAATAAAAATGCTGAAAATGCAAAGGTATAAAATAAATAATAATGGTATATATTAATATATATCAAAATTTTTTATTTTAGATTTCCTTCACAATAATTTATTTTTTAGCAACAAGGAAGTGATGAAGATACAGATGATAATGGATCAGAATGTGTTATTTGTATGTGTGATGTACGAGATACTTTAATATTACCATGTAGACATTTATGTCTATGTAATAGTTGCGCAGATTCTCTTCGATATCAAGCAAATAATTGTCCAATATGTCGAGCTCCTTTCAGAGCTCTTCTTCAAATTAAAGCTCTTCAAAAAGCGACTGGAGCTATTATATCAAATCCACCATTACCAGAGGTAAATATTTATTTAAATAATTATTTAATTTTATATTAATGTGTGTATATATATATATATATTTTATTATATTCATTATATTATTTATTATATTGCTTCATAAGTATTTATCAATCTTCTTTGGCTAATGAAACATTTTAAATTTTACAATATATAATTGGTAAAATGAAATTATTTTAATTATTTGAAATGATTTTTGAACAAATTTTGATTAATTATTATATAATTTATTTAAAAAAGAAAAAATATTTTAAAAAATACCATTATAATATAATAATTTAGTATCTTAAATATCCAATTTAATAGAAGTAAGAAATTTGTTGAATTAAAATAAATTAAAAAGATTATTTTTTAAATCAATACAGATAAATAAACTAGATCTGGATATTATTCATATAAATTTGAAAAATAATCATGATTATTATGAATATTTATTAAATTGAATTTATAGAAAAAATGTAAATTTTAATATCAAGAAATTGAATAATCTGGAAATAAAATAATCTAAGTTTAATTGAAGAATAATATAAAATTTTTGATATGATCATCACATTGATTGTATTTTCAATATTATTTATAAATATTAAATATTTTTAGTAAAATTTTAATAAAATTTTTGCAATGTATATTCACAATACAATTAATATGTTATAATATATTAGTTGGAAAACATTGCTTGAATTAATATTTGATGGAACATTAGTAATTTTATTTCTATTTAAAATAGATAAAATTAATAATAATAAAATATTAGACTAATTTTATGAACGAAATGTTAAATCCTTTTTTTAGGGAAGTTGTGAAAATATACCAGCTGGATATGAAGCTGTATCATTGATAGAAGCTTTAAATGGTCCATATATTCCAAGAACTACTGTTCTTGCTCCAGAAACTCCAGATACTCCTGATACAGACACGGCTAGTGCAATTCAAGCAGCTGAAACATTAAATAGGTAAAATAATATTTTAATTTAATTTAATTTTTTTATATATGTACATGTTATGTTTATGTTATATTAATATAATTCATTTAAATTCTAATTTAATTGTAATATACATGTTATTTAAAAGGTCAATAGAACGTACACCTGTCATATCAAAACATGTATCTTCAAAAGAAGCAGATATATCTGCAAGAACTAGTGGTACTGCATGTCCTACTCCAGAGTTTCGAATGTCTGTTTTATTAGCTAGAGATGAACATTCAGGACCACAAAAAGATGTACACAGTCGATCTCCAGCAATGAGAATAAAACCTTCTGGTCACTTACGGGAAAAAGTAGTACTACGATCACGAGACACTCTTAGACTTGTTAATGAAAAACAACCAGTATCTCTTTATGAGGTATTCTGTTAATACTTGTGCTACAATTTTCTTAAGTTACATAGTTAATAAAATATCAAACATATAAATTTTTACTTTGTTGTTTATATAAATCATATTTATAGGGACAAGGACAAGATGAAGATAGTGAAGCAGAAAAATTGTCTCCATTATTAGATGCAGTAACTAGTACAGAAGCACTTGATAATAATAGTCACGAAATATGTGATATAGATATTGATGATGAAATGCAAAATACTGAAAATGAAAATGATGTTGATATTACATGTCATTCACATTAAATATTCATTAAAATATTTAATATATATTTAATATAATATATTTAATTATTTTTTTATAATATAAAATATTTAGTTTGTATTCTTTTTTAAAATTCTGAATATAAATTGTAAATAAAATATTATATGTAAACTGTAAATTATAAAATTATAAAATTATAAATTTTTTTTAAATTATTTACGATTAAAATTATTAACCAACTTATTAACCAAAAATTATAGCATTATAGATTAATTTATTTATTGCAATTATATATGTGCAATATAATTTTATAACCTTATATAGATATTATAATTGATATAATAGATTATAATAGATATTTTTCATGATTTTAATATTTAATAAATATAAATCTGTAAAATTTTTTCAGAATTCAAAAGGTATAACTAAACCGTTTATGATAGTTTAAAACAAGTATTTATGAAAATTATGAATTTAATAAATGCTTTTTTTTTAAATAAAATGAATTCTGTCACAAATAAAATAAAAAAAATTACTTATATTACTTTATTTAAAATTTAAATGACTGAAGTTACAAGATTTTGTTTAATTTTTACTTCTTTACATTGATTTAGTACATAGTTTCAATTTTGTTTCCAATTTGACAGTAGAATCTGCTTTAATTTTATTATATTTCTGTTATTTAAGTTAATAGATTCAAATCCAATATTAATTTTATTATTTTTGCGATAAAAAAACTTTAATAATAAAATTTTGATAAAATGCTGTTCACAAATTTGATTTTCATACTTGCTCTTGATATAAAATATTTCTATAAATCTTTTATACAAAAAAATATAAGTAATTATAAAATTATAAACATTTAAGTATTTAAATATTGAGCAAAAAATATTAAAAATATATCCATTTATTAATATTTTTTAATTTATATTTATTTTTTTTAAAATATCTAAATGAAACAAAAAAAGAAAAATAGCTATATATTAGATGTGTTTTCTATATTTTTATTGCAATATATTGAACAAATCCAAACATAAATATATATCAAAGAAAGCAATATATCAAAGAAAGTGTGTTGAATATTATAATTTATTCATTATTTGTGATATTTAATATAATTTATTTGTGAATTAAATATAATTTTTATTGTTAAAAAAATATTTGTTTGATACAAATACATTTTCTTCAATATATATATTATTTGAACTTCATACTCGATTAACCAACATTATCATTGCAACTCGAAAAAAAAATTAAATAATATGCTTCTTGATTGACCAAGTGTTTTTTTTATTGATAATTTATTAACAAAGCCATAATAAATTTTTGCAAAGGAAAATGTTGATTGAAATTATCTCAGAAATCTCTAATTAACAGATTTCATATTTAGAGACAAAAAATTTTAATATTTATAAAGATATGTTAATAAATCATGTTTTTGTAATACGATCTTACTTTAATAAATTCAATATTTTTTTAAATAATACATAAATATAATATACATAAAATATATAAATAAATTTTATATATATAAATATATATATACTAACTTCTAATAAAAATAATTTTATAATTATCTAAATAAAATAATTAATTACTAATTTAATTTACTGATTTCTTATAATTATTATTATTTTTTTGAATAATTCTTATTGTTTTTTATTTTTGAATAACACGATTCTTAAAAATATTACTATTATATTGGTAATATAATAATATAGGAATATAATTACTTGTAAAATTGGAATTGTTATATATGTATCATTTCTTGGTTAAAAAGCAAAATATGAACAACTTTTATTATTATTGTTATTGTTTGCTAATGTTTCTTATTTGAAATATCATTCTTAAAGTTTCAAATTGCTTTGTTTAAGAATAATATAGGAATATATATTCTATATTAGTTTTTTTTCGATTATTATTTAAAATATTAAAATATTTAAATGAGATAATATATGTATAAAATATATAAAAATGTGCATATTCATTTTTTTTAAAATTATAAATAAGTTATTAAAACTAAAAATAATTTATTTTTGGATAAATAATATTGTTATAAATGATATTCATAAAAAAAAATTAAAAATATTCTGATATTTTCCGATATCTTAACATTTGTGATACATTTATGTGTTTTACATTTCTATTTATATTCTTTTTATAAAAAAAAAAATAAAGTTTAAGAAATTAAAAAATCTGATTAAAAATTTGAGAAATAAAATTCATTTTCTGACAAAATTATTAGAAGATATTATGTATTATTTTTAATATATATGTACATTAAAAATTTTATTTTTTAATAAATTATATTTTTTTATATTATTTTATATATTTTTTAATAAATTAATTATATTTCATCAATGCAATCATCTTAAAATTCATATATGTAATAGTTAATAGATAATGTAATAGATAATGAAGCATTATTTTTTATTTTTTGATAAATGTTACTCGAATTAATTGTAAAAATTATCCCCCAAAATAATTTTTTTTCTTAATAATTAATTTATTTGAAAAAAAAAAAATATGAATATATATAAATATGGTATTGTATTTTTTCTTTTTTTTGTTTCATTATTTTAAATATTGGAAATAAAATAATAAAATTAAGAGGATCTCCACATTATCCTTAAATAAAAGTAATAAATATAATGAAAATAATTAGTAATAATCTAAAACTTCAAAAAGAATGTTTCAAATTAAAAAAATCATTTAGTAAACAATAAAAATTATATATACAGTTATTCATATTTACTTTGCTAGACTTTATAAATTACTTTTTAGAGAAATAAAATTTTATAATATAAAATTTTTAAATAACAAAAAATACAATTATACATATAAATATACATATAAATTCTTAAATAATATATCAAATAGTTTAAATATTTTAATTTTTGATTTATATCAAATTAAATAAAATATTTAAATCAAGAGATAATAATAAATAAACTAATAATATAATAATATAAAAATATAACAATTACAGAATAAAGTATAACAAAGTATAATAAATATGGAAAAATTAAAAACATATGCTTATTTTTAATTATTTAATAAAATTCAAATTCAAAAAATCATATTTTATTTAAGCAGTAGCAAGAACTTTTCTGAATTTTTTCCATTCATCAAGTGGTCCATGTTCTGGTAAGTATTTGACATTACAACCATCTGGAGCTAATCGACCTGCTGCTTTTAGTTCTTCATATTCAGCACGATCATATTTGGTAAAACCCCATTTCTTTGAAACATATATCTTTTGACGACCAGGGAATTTGAATTTTGCACGTCGTAATGCTTCAACTACAGCAGCCTTATGACGATCAGATGAGCGTACACTCATAATGGGTTGTCCAATATGAACTCTGGCTACAGTACCTTGAGGTTTACCAAAAGCACCTCTCATTCCTGTTTGAAGTCTTAAAAAATATAAAAAAACAATATTTAATGAAATTAATTAAAATTATTAAATATAATTCTATATTATTAGATAATGAAGAAGATATATGTGCGTTTTTTTTTTTATATATGATGGGATATGCTCTGATATGCATATCTTAATTATTAATATTCAATATTATTTTAAAAAATTTCATTATTATTAAATGTTTAATTATTAAATTATTTATATACCTATCAGCTCCAGCACATGATAACATTTTATTGATACGAATAACATGAAATGGGTGCAGTCTCATACGAATATGAAACTGATCTTTTCCAGCATTTTTCACCATATATTTATTTGCACAAATACGTCCAGCTTCAAGAGCTTCAGAACTAAGTTGTTCATATTCATCTGATACCAAGTGTACACATAATGGAAAATCTTCTACAGAAGCTTTCTTTTTTCCAAGATCAAAAATACGTATCTTTGGATCAGGTACACCTCTACAAAATCTTGATTTAGGATAAGGTTTATTCTTACAATATCGATAACTATAAGGAAGAAAAAGATTCGTATTAAAAATATATGTATAATTAAAAATAAAAAATTGAAAATTAATAGAAATATAAAAATTTTTTACAATAAACTAGAAAAAATTATTATCAATATAATTAATTATAATTATGTAAAACTTTATAAAATATAAAATTTATTAATAAAATTAAATAAATATAAATATATATACTACATACCATCTAGCTGGTCGACGCCCCATATCGACTATTAACAATAAACAAAAATCATGTAAATAAAAAAATAATAATTATATAAGCTTTTTTAATAATTTAAAATAATACAAAACATAAGGATGATTAATATATATTTGGATATTTTAAGATTAAAATGAATTATCATGAACGATACCTTGTCTTTCTTATCGATGTAAAATGACGAAGAAATCAACCAAGTTGAAATAGGTTACAAGTGAAGATCGTGAATTTAGTTACAAGAATCTAGTTACTAAAAAATCACTATTTAAGGATGATTTTTAATCAACGATAGTATTCTAACATATGAAAATTCATAGAAACACAGAAAATATTATAACTTGCATTACATTATTTATTTTCATCAAAATGTTATAATGGAATCAGAATTATCGGAGGAAAGTACTTTACGTTCACAATTTACTGTAGATGATTTGAATATTGAAATATTACCAATTATATATGAAATAATTCGGAGGTCTGTACATTTTAATAATGTAATAATTAAAATAGTTGTTGTTTAATGATTTTGAGTTATTTTAAAATAAAGATATAATTCATTTAATCTTTATTTATATTTTTATATTAATTTTTTTGACTCGATATTTTTCTTTGTATAAATTGTTTCTTTAAAATCATTATATTTAAAAAAATATTTTTTCTTTATAAAATATTTTTTTTTAATTATAATTATAATTATATACTTAGGTTATATTTGAAATACATTTC